TCCGATATAAAGCTCGGTTCAGAGCGCAGGTGACTGGCCCAACTGGGTCACGTGAGTCGCACGGAGCCATCCCGGAGAGTCGGTTTGTGTGGCGGACATATCACGGACTTGTCAAACCACAGACAGACGCGTGACAGGCAGTGTGAGCCGCGCTTTGGAACGGCGATCGATCTCGCGAGCTATATGAATACGCAATGCTCGGAGATCAGATTATATAAGGGTGGATAGAACAGGCAATACAATGTAGGGACTTGACCAAAAGCATGAATGCTTAATTTTAGTCATCAATAAGTAAAACCTTAACGTTGTTATAGACATGGAAATATCAATTATAATAACTGAAGGTATGGAAAAAGATGAAAAGAGTCATATAAACCATTGCCTGCACCACCGTAGCATTACGACTATCTTTGATAATAACAGGTTTTTGCCATTAACTAACAATTAACCATTTTCACTTTGTGCTTGGCTGAACCATCTAAACGTATTATTCTAGCACAATTCTCTCAGCTTCTACACTGGCCAGTCCCGTCCAGCCGACCGGTGGGTCCCGAGGCCGCCCCTCCAAAAACTGGTCGCGGGTACCACCGCGGCGCCGTGGGATGGCCGTAATGACTGGATCGCGCCGCTGACGTCACAGACGGTTTTTGCCGCAGAACAGCGGCGGGGCGGGATGTCACAGTGTGTACGTGTAGGGGGGGGGGGGGGTTGAAGGTCGCACTTACCACAAACAAGGGTCAGGTCGCAGGTAGTGTTGAGGTAATTGTAGACGAGATTCGGTTAACAAGGACGGCCACAGTGATATTTATGAACCTCAAACACTCGTCGATGATTTGAGATTAAGGCGGAGTTAGGGTAATGCGAGGCAATGTGCACCCATTAGCACGTGCTCCACTGCAGTGGACAGTATCCCCCCATATTGCTGTAATAGTTATCTCACAACCGCTTTTCTAGTTAGACATGTGGCACTTACAGTATTTGTTCAACATCCATTTTATTGTTGAGTTGCAATAAAATCCGTTTGGAAATATTCGAAATACTGACGCTTATTGACTTTATATAAGGTAGGTATGCAATCAATCCCGAAGGTTGAAATTGGTAAACATAATTTCTTTGGTCTTAACAAGACGATATGAAACTTTTTTGTCAATAGGACTAGCTTGCTTTTTTATTTGTTGTTATCGAACCATTTATTAACGTAAAGTGATAGTCAGGCATATTCTCATTACGCAAAGGAGGACAGGCAACGTTTGCATGACAGCGAACAAAAGGATCGCACCACTGCCAGTTCATGGTCTGTTGTGTACTGTGTAGTTAAACCTTCATGCCCAGCAATTATTTAGTCGTAACTCTTTGTTTTCTCACATAAACTTACAAAATCATGCTCATTTTGCGTGAGAGCCTATTACAAATGTTACTATATCAGTTGTGGAGTTATGTTTTCTTTCCCCGGCATCACGCAAATGTTTTGTTCGTTCCGTAAATGATCAAAGGCAAATATCTAAAACTTTTAGATCAGCTAGCTGATTTGGGAGCAAATGAAGAACTTGAAACAAAAATCAAAACATAATTATGTTTCATTGCTTATTTGAAAGCTTGGGCGTCATTGGGTAAATTGACGGCCTCGCCAAAGTTGAAATAGTGCGACTTCTGAGTAAAGTAGTTAAAACAAGCGTGGGAGCTATGAATGAATGATACTAGGTATTTTATGGTTGAACTGCTACGTCATGCATTGAAAGCAGTTCAAAGTGACGATACTGTCAATAAATAAATAAATAAATAAATAAATAAATGAATAAATATATAAATAAATAGATATATAAATAAATAAACAAATAAATGAATAAATAAGAAGTGCCTGTGAGGTAGTCCCAGGGAGGAAGGCGGCCGCTCACGAGTCTCAGCGCTATCTGGTGGCTGCTGCGTCCCTTGCCAGATGGCGCCATATATGTGGTCGGAATAAGCAGTAAAAAAGGACTGAAGGAAATATTATCCAGTGGTTTCACCAATGCAAGTATGTGTGTGTGTGTGTGTGTGTGTGTGTGTGTGTGTGTGTGTGTGTGTGTCTTTTTTACCGAAGTGGGCTGATCATCAACTTATTTCCCGGTTCCTTTTTGGTTCCTTCCTTGCTCGCTGCTGCTTTCTGACCCGGGCTGAACGCTTGAGTTCTTATCCTTGGTCGATTGCTATGGCTATATTTTTTTTCTGGAGCACTGATTATCTCACTTTCATTGAAAAATGTTTTATCGATCAGTAGCACTGGAGCTAGTGCATAACTAATTTCCAATAAATAACTTCCATTCCTTTTACGTCTAAATTAAAATTAAGCTGAGAACCATGAAAGTTTTTTTGCCTTTATCTTCATATTTAATATTTATCGACAAAAATGTTTCCTGTCTGTTTCGAAGCCCCACACATCATCAAACCCTATTCTGAGTCAGCCGGCTGCCATTCAAGCCTTGTAACTGCGGCTGCAGGCGCCTGGGGGTCTCGTTTTTTAGCCGCGTGAGGTGGCGGCGCGCGTGCTCGTCCTCTGGGCCGGGTCACGTGTCGGCGCCGGCCGCCGATGAAGCCGCCAAACGTCGGACGCCAGACGCCGCACGCTGATCCAATTGCTGCTCCGTGGCCAGACTGAATCTGGATGGTTCTCGGCGGAGCGGTGGGTCGTGCCCTGCGCGACTGGGCCTCTCGGTGGGCTGTGGAGACGGAGAGCGGTTTGTGCTGTGCTGAACCCAGGGAGTGTTGGTAAGGGAGCTGCGGCTTCCACTCCGGATTGCGCCGGTCGGTGGGACGCTGACAGGTAGAGGTAACCCTCGAAAGGGGTCGTGTGTTAATGCAAGTCTACACGGGACGGCGCTGTCTCTCTATATTCTGCACCAAACATCGACACAGTGCTTCAGTGAGAGCCGAGGCTGAGGCTGAAACGGCCTGGAAACAGCGGTCGGTGAAGATGTTTCTGAATGCGCTGGCTCTGGCGGACAAGGTGCAGGCGGCCGTCACCCGACACAAGGCAAGAGTTGGGCGTCTCCGTTTGCATGGTCTCCGCTGCCTTATTTGGTAGTGTTCAATAATGCCTTATCTATTTGTATGAGACTGTAAGTGTTCAGTGAATCCTAATTATGAAATAGGAAAACCCAGTTAGCTAGCGACATAATAACCGAAATGCTCGTAAATCACCTTTTGAGGGCTTAGCTATAACATGTCTTTTGATTTTAACCCGCGCACCGACGGGGGTCTGCGCCAACTTAGTACCGACGGGGGGGGGGGGGGCGGATGACCGCCCCCCCCTGAGATCTCGAGAACGAAGCAAGATAGCGACAAGCGGTAAACGGCATCGGATACGCACGGACAAGGTCTACAATTTTACTAAGGTCATTTTCAGGTCAGGTCAAAGATGACGTCACAGGGGTCGAAAAAGTCAAAATGGCGGCGCTAGATATGGAGAGGGTTTTTCTCGAATAACTTTCGAAGTAGTCAAGATAGGAACAAACTAAGGGCATCATCGTGATCCTCTCGTCAATCCGCATCGAATGATATATATGTTGACCTCGAAAGGTCAAGGTCAAAGGTTGACCTCAGGTCACGTGACCTCGAGGTCATCATGTATATCATTCGATGCGTCTTGACGAGCTGAACACAATGAGACCATCCGCGCGGCTGTATCTTGTTCCTGTAAGGAGTTATTGGCAAAAAACCTTTGGTGACCTTTGATGACGTCACATGACCTTACAGCTGCCCAACAGCAAAACAGACCTCAAGGTAGTGAAGGTTGATCGTATGTGAAGTCATGTATGGTATATGGGGCCATTCCGACCCGTTTTAGTGGTAAAAACAGGGAGTTGATTTTTCCCCCATTGACTTATAATGGGGAGGTCGCGAAATTGACCTGACCTTAGGTCACCGACATCAAAATTCCGAGATAAACAAATTGTAGCTACTAATGACCTAATAATATCCTGCGACTTTCAAAGGCCTCCGACATCCACTGTAGCTCTGGCACGGTGACAAAGTTGCAAAAAAGTGACTTGAGGTTGGGTCATTCAAAGTGACCTGGTGACCTGACCTTAAAAGGTAGGAGGTTCAAACTTGCACACCATGTGTAAAATTGATGAGAGAATAGTCATACCAAATTTCGCGGCGCTACGCGCCGCGGTTTTCCCGCTATCCGCGAAAAACCTCAGGAGGGGGCGGATATCCGCCCCCCCGTCGGTGCGCGGGTTAAAGCTACACCTGTGACATTTATACTTTTAACTATGAAAATAGGCATACCAAATTTAGCCACTCAGTACCTAATCATCAATGAACAGACAGTGACAGTGGCCGACATTGACGGTCCCTACACTCGCTAAGCTCTTTTTTAAGTTTATCTTTGGGAGCTGTGGATGATGGGCGTTCTTCAACAAAATCACATCCCTAAAGGAAACAACGAAAACGCCAATGCATTCAGCCAATAAGAAGATATCATGGATGTTATTTTCCATCTAATATTTCATCAATTTCTCGAAAAAAAGAAACAAAAGCCAAAGGTGGTCGCTATCTCCTGCCTCTCGGCAGCTGTGCTTCCAGCTTGTCAGCTTGCCTCTCTCTCTCTCTCTCTCTCTCTCTCTCTCTCCTCTCTCTCTCTCTCTCTCTCTCTCTCTCTCTCTCTCTCTCTCTCTCTCTCTCTCTCTCTCTCTCTCTCTCTCTCTCTCTCTCTCTCTCTCTCTCTCTCTCTCTCTCTCTCTCTCTCTCTCTCTCTCCCTCTCTATTTATCATTTGGGGAACACTGAACACAGCTTTGCTGTTTATATTGTATTTTTTTTTTCGTCCAGCCCTTTCCATCCAATGGGTCGCAATCGAGTCTGCCGTCGGTCAGCGGAACTGCTGTTTCCCGTTTTGGCCGCTGGCGGCGCTGCTGTCCGTCCGCTGGCGGTTCCCACCCTGGGAACGGTGGGCGGCGCCTGTGGCTGTGTCCGCACCGGGCGGCCGGCGTGTCCGCTGCGGCTCCCGAGTGTGTGTCCGGACTGGGCCGGTAGTGGAACCCGGCGAGACGCACAGACCGTGCCGGAGCAGCCGCAACAGCGTGAGGGACGGGACAGACTGAACGACAGGTAGGCAGGGCAGGGACAAACGGCACAGCAGGTAGGCAGGGCATAGGACAAGGGGGTAGGCAGGGCACGTGGCAAACTGCACCTCAGAAAGGCAGGACACGGGACAAAGTACACAGCAGGTAGGCAGGGATGGAGAGGTGAGCAAGGGTTTCCATTTCATGTTACTGAACAATTGGTAGCTGATCAATGAATAGCTGGTTAAATGACAAGCATCAGGACATATTTTAACATACTGACTGCGTCCCATTTTGGGACGCAGCCCCCTGCCTTTGGGACGTAGCACTCGCGAAATTTGGACCACTGCGTCCCACACTGAAATGTCACGGTTTCAGCGGAAAAGTGCAAGCAATAATAATAAGCATGCCTCGGTCTTTTACTATGCAACAGATGTTGCCTTTCTGATTGCTTTGTGCCCTGATTTATTATGCACCTAAGCACATGCATGCGCTCTCCAGTCCTTGTGCCCTGCCCTATCCTAGGGTCGTACACCTTGTTATGTCCCGTGCCCTACTATACCCCTAGGATATGTGACCTGCCCAGTGCCCTGTCCTAAGGTCTTGTACCTTGCCCTGCCCTTCCTTCAGGCCTTGCGCCCTGCTCTGCATTCAGGCCCTGTGACCCTCTCTGCCCTGCCCAGTGCCCTCAATTTCAAACCCGATACCTTGTTGTCTTCCCGTCTTAAGGACCCCTTCGGTGCTGCTGCCGGTTCGGTGCTGGGTCCGGATTTCGGGAAAATTGTGCATATCTAGTCCTGTCCCTTGCCCTGCCCTCAGATCCAATAATACTGATATTGATTAAAAAAATCAAATGGAAGACTTTAGCTAAAGCTGGAGAAGATTATCCATCCCTGGACCTGGGCGGAACCCAGGGAGGCGAGGCGAGTTATCACAAGCAACATAAGTGTCACCTTTAATCCCCTCCGCTCCCCCTCCCCTGTGACACCATCCGCCGCCCACCACCCATTCATGATTCACATTCGCGTAGACGCCGTGCTGGACCTGTCGGAGCCGAGGCGGACGTGCGAGCCTGGATGTTAGGCTGACCCGGGCGGAATCGGCGCCCGCCCTTCCGGGGATTCCCGGCCATTGAAACCAAGGCCGTATAAGAGAGGTAGAATCATCCCGCGATTTCCAATGGACCGGTCGCTAAGCATTAGCGTGACGTCACTGGTGGAGACCGGGCGGCGCCCAGCTCCAAGCTGTACGTCGGGTACATTTGGCACCGTATAGTTGCTATTACTGAACGACGAACGTAACGACAACTAATGACTCTTAATAACTTTTTTACTCACCTAAAGCTGATTTCCTTGCCGGTACATTGCCGACCCGAGCCCCAGGGTTGACAATCATGGGATATGGGTCGGATGGGCGACCTCGCGACGGGAGGAGGAACGATTGCAATTGTTGTGTTCCGCACCGCCGATTGCATTCTCTATCTGCACCCGGGGGGAGGGGAAGTAGGGGGCACGTGCCCCCATCGGATCAGGGGGCCTCTCGGGCCAGAGGGGCCTTGCGACGCCAATTGGCGGCTGAGGGTCCACGCTGGCATCTTTCGACTCAGAAGGGCCCCACAGGGCTCGGAAGAACACCTTATGTGCTCCGAAGAGCCACACTTCTGTCCATAAGAGCCCCACACCGGCTTTTTAGTGTCCCTTGTCGGCCTTTGAGTGCCCCTTGCCGGCTTCTCAGGGCCTATTGGCGACCTCTGAGGGCTACTTGCCGGCCTCTGAGGGCCCTTACCGGCCTATCAGGGACCAGCAGCTCTAAGGGTTCCACACACGCCTACGATGACCCCCTAAACCAGTGGTTGAAGGCCCCCACAACGGCGCCTGCGAGGGACCTCACCGGCGGCTGTGAATGCCCCACACCGGTGCCTAGCTGAGGGCCCAACACTGCCACCCCTGAGTGCAACCGGCATCCCTGAATGAGGCCCCGAAACCAGTGCTTCTTAAGACCATACATCGGCGGCTCTGGGGGCTCAACGCCGGAGCCGCATCGGACGGCCACTCACCGGTGACTTTTGAGGGCCCCACACCGACGACTCTGAGGGCCCCACTGGCGTCTGAGTGTACCTTGCTGGTCTCTAAGGACTCCACAGGGCTCCCGAAGGCACCGCAGACCTCTTGAGAGCCCCTTGTCGGTCTCTGAGAGCCCCTGTCGGCCTGTAAAGGGTTCGAGCCAGCAGCTCTAAGGGTCCCACACCGGACTGTGACAACCCCACACTGCAGTGTTTCTGAGGGCCCACAACGGCAACTGTGAGTGGACCCTCACCGGCGTCTCTGAGGGCCCACAGCGGCACCTCTGGGGGCCCGCACCAATGCCTCTGAGTCGAGAGCATCACACCGGTACCTGTGAGGGCCCACACCAGTGCCTCCAAAGGCTTCATAACCGGCGGCCCTGAGGGCCCTACACGGGTGATTTTGAGGGGCGTACCGAAGGCACCACACAATCCCTTAGTCTCGCTGAGCTTCTATCCCAATCCCATACCGGCTTCTATCCCAATTCCGGCTCAACTAATTATCAGCCCCCCTCCCCCCTCTATGGGTCAGCAGCGCCGCGCCGGTGTCGGGGGCCAGCGCAGTCGGCCACGCGCACTCAGTGGTTAGCGCTTAGCACCGGCGGCTAGCGCACGCCCGGTGTGTTTTCGGCCGTGAGCCGCTCCAAAACGACTGCAGTAACTGGTCGATATAGGTAGTAAGCAGATGCAGAGATGCAGTTAGATAAGGTATGTGCCCTTTCCGATCGAAGCATGTGCCCTATGCCACCTTTGGGACGCAGTAAAAAATCCTTAAAATATGCCCTGACAAGCATGCGGCTGTTGCGGCATGTGCTTGAGTATGATATGTGCTAATTATTAATGTTGTTTACTTTTGATCCTGTTTACCTGTTGATTGTTGTTTTGTGTTGCGCTGGCTGGTTGCCAGATCTAACATTGTCTCACGAACAAAACATCTGTAATTTCGCACATGCACCTCAACTTCACTAAACAGAGATCAATACATTCCACAAACTAATTCACTATATTCAATACACTTCAACTATGCGACAACTTGGATCAATTCTTAGCAAAACAACTGGAACTGGTAAAGTACCGGGCTGCCCTGAATTTGACGTGAACATGCCGCAGCTGCTGAAAGTAAGCAGCGACAACAACCGTTTGATGATCTCATAACCAGAGGTCTTGACAATTAACCCGCGCACCGACGGGGGTCTGCGCCAACTTAGTACCGACGGGGGGGGGGGGGGCGGATGACCGCCCCCCTGAGATCTCGAGAACGAAGCAAGATAGCGACAAGCGGTAAACGGCATCGGATACGCACGGACAAGGTCTACAATTTTTACTAAGGTCATTTTCAGGTCAGGTCAAAGATGACGTCACAGGGGTCGAAAAAGTCAAAATGGCGGCGCTAGATATGGAGAGGGTTTTTCTCGAATAACTTTCGAAGTAGTCAAGATAGGAACAAACTAAGGGCATCATCGTGATCCTCTCGTCAATCCGCATCGAATGATATGTATGTTGACCTCGAAAGGTCAAGGTCAAAGGTTGACCTCAGGTCACGTGACCTCGAGGTCATCATGTATATCATTCGATGCGTCTTGACGAGCTGAACACAATGAGACCATCCGCGCGGCTGTATCTTGTTCCTGTAAGGAGTTATTGGCAAAAAACCTTTGGTGACCTTTGATGACGTCACATGACCTTACAGCTGCCCAACAGCAAAACAGACCTCAAGGTAGTGAAGGTTGATCGTATGTGAAGTCATGTATGGTATATGGGGCCATTCCGACCCGTTTTAGTGGTAAAAACAGGGAGTTGATTTTTCCCCCATTGACTTATAATGGGGAGGTCGCGAAATTGACCTGACCTTAGGTCACCGACATCAAAATTCCGAGATATACAAATTGTAGCTACTAATGACCTAATAACATCCTGCAACTTTCAAAGGCCTCCGACATCTACTGTAGCTCTGGCACGGTGACAAAGTTGCAAAAAAGTGACTTGAGGTTGGGTCATTCAAAGTGATCTGGTGACCTGACCTTAAAAGTTAGGAGGTTCAAACTTGCACACCATGTGTAAAATTGATGAGAGAATAGTCATACCAAATTTCGCGGCGCTACGCGCCGCGGTTTTCCCGCTATCCGCGAAAAACCTCAGGGGGGGGGCGGATATCCGCCCCCCCGTCGGTGCGCGGGTTAACTATATTTTTACCAGTTTTGCATACACACCAGCGTCTGTTTTTATTGACGATGTTTTCAGTTTCCCTTACAAACTGTTGATCAGAGCGTTTCGATCATTGGCTGTGAATTTTAAGAGTGCTATCTAATTCGCTGGCGTTTTGTAACCGGTTTCATCCGTAAGCAGGGCGAAATACGCCGGCACCCGTGTGCGCCAATGTCTGCCCTGGAATGCTCAGCCTGCGTGATGAGGAACTCCCTCGGCAGCACCGCAAAAACCACTGCTACTCACTGGAATGAGTAATATCAGCACTAGACTGGCGGTTTCGAAACAAAGTGCTGCACAGGTCGGGCCCTTTGTTTTGTACTTCGGATTTCATACTTACCCGCTCAAAGATTTGCATAGCAAACTAAGAACATATGTCAAGCTCAACTAGCCGTGGTTTTCAGTTTTCATTATTATATTGCTGATTTTCTTACACCGTGTTATTGTTCTGCATCGCTGTGAAGATTGAATTGATCTCGGCCCATTCGGTGAGATCGGTGTCGTTGGCCATGTCGCTATCACCGGCCATTCTGCGGGATATTTCGACACACCTGGCCATGGAGACCGAGGAAAACACGCTCGGGGCCCACTCTCTGTTGGCCAGTCACTGGCTCTCCGATGTTCCCACGGAGCGGCGGGGGTGCGCGGTCAATCTGCCCAGAGAAATCCGTCAGCTGTCGCTCTCCAGCTCTCTGCCCCGGGGTGTGCAGCGCCTCTGTCGGTGCTGTCGACCGACTAAACTTCCTCCTCAGGGCTCCGGCACCTGCACTAGGGTGAAA